GGTTACCTAATCCTGTAAGGAACATCCCACCACTTTTGCTGTATTCTGTCCATCGGAAGCAAGTCGCTAGGTCCGGCCCACACTCAAAGGGAGGGGATTACAGAAGGGCATAAACACCAAGAGGGAGGGATAGGTGAGGGTCATCTTAGAGGCTGCCTGCCACAGAGACTCAGGTTGGTACTGACCCAGGTGACGAGGAAAGCAAACGTCAATTCTCTCGGGAAGTACTTGACTTCAGAAGAGGTGAAGAGCAGTTTAAGACACTGCCAAGTGAAGGTGTTCACTGATTTCAGAGCTATTAAAATGTCTATGCCATGTTCAGTGGCTTACACCTAAAATCTCAGTGACTCAGGAGGCTGGGGCCCAGGAGACTTGAGCCCAGGAGTAAGAGACTGAAGTGAGCTGTGATCACACCACTGCACTCCAACCTAGGTGACAGAGTGAGATCCTGACTCTTAAAAAAGTCTGTGATATAATTTACTGACAGAGGGGACTCTCTGAGTGGTGAAGGAGACAACAAGGAAGTTTTGCAGAGGAAGAAACTAAAGAATTGGTGCTGGAGGCTTAGGTGGAGAGGGCCCACCATGCAAAGCATCCTGAAAAAGTGCAAAGGCACGGGTGTACTGAAGAGCCCAGGTAGATTGCTATGTGGAGTGCAAGCAATGTTGTGACACAAAATGGGCTGGAAGGGCAGGCTGGGCCAGACCTCCAGTGAGCCATGCTAAGGGGCTGGGCATGGGGAGCCACCGACCAATGTTAAGCGGAGCAAGCAGTTATATTAGAGAGATTGCATGAGGCTCCGTGGGGGCTGGACTGGAGGGGAAAGAGACTAGCAGGACAGAGAGACCATTAGGAAGATCTTGCAAAGATCCATTTGTGCCCAGCTGGCTTCTTCTTAACTGTCTTCAGCTCAACAATCCTTTATATTTTGGTCTCCCACAGTTACTAGCAGTGGAATCTAATCCTAATGCAGACAGATGTAATGCTATTTCCATTTCACAAACAATGAAGTGCATAGAGGTTAAGGAACTTGCCTAAGGTCACTCATTTGGTAAGTGGCAGAGCCAAGACTTGGATCCAAGCACTGGGCTTCAGAGCCTGCCTGTGTGGGCAGCTGGTGTGGGCCACTGCTGCTAGAGGAGACACAGCTCAGCACATTTGCTTCACTGATAGTATAAAAAGACTTCACGCTGGCTTTTGCTCCCACCTCAAAATGTCCTCATTTTTGTCTTCTTACCCATTCTGCTTTGTGCCCATCCTACTTTCTACTCGTTCATTTCCTAACTTGCACATCTTTGATGATGTGATCCTTCTTTGGTCTGGAAGGAACTCTCCCATCTCTCTACCTGTTGAAATTCCATTCATCCATTAAGGCCCAGTTCTTTTATATCCCTCCCACAAATGACTTCATCCATTCTTATGAATTGATGTAGTCAACAAATATTTATTGAGATCTGGTGTGTGCTGGGCACGAGGGATTCTGCAATGTATAAAACAGATGAACTGTTAGTTGTAAGCTATTGTACTTACCTTTGGGTTTGCTACAGCAGTGGCTTTCAAACTTAAAAAAAATCGATAGTCTAATTATAATACATCACCCCCCACACACACACACACAGCCCCCAATGATTTAAGAAACAATATTTACCTTTACTATGTAAAGGTAAATAGTACTCTGATCATTTAAACTCAATTCTATTTCATTAAGATAAAAATGATGGTTGATGCCTCCTGTAAAATTTTACCTCCTCTAAAATTAATTTTATAGGCCACTGATAGCCTATTAATAGGCTGGAACACACTAGTTTGAGAAATACTCATTCCATTATTCACCCAGTCATCTAAACAAAGATTTCCTTGGTGCCCACTGTGTTCTGGGCACAGCTCTGGCATCAGGATAAAGAGAAGAAAGAGTACTTGCCCTCAAGGCGAGCAGGCCAGTAAAGAAACAGAGCTTGAGAGCAAAGACTACACAGTGCTATGTGCTCTGGTGGCAGTGTGCTTGGGACAGATGTGCATGCTGGTTGCTCAACAAATATTAAGAATGAAATCAAACTGAGGGATAAGCACCAAAATTATAAAAAGAAAATGGAATCGTGACTTCCTCAAAAGCAGACCCTTAGCAGCTCATGGGTCTACTGTGATGTGAAACTGGCATCCAACTCCTGATTCTCTAGTGCATTGCTGATAAGTCAATCCTGGGCTGAGCACAGTGGCTAATGCCTGCAAACCCAGCACTTTGGAAGGCCGAGGCGGGCGGATCACCTGAGGTCAGGAGTTCAAGACCAGCCTGGCCAATACAGTGAAACCCTGTCTCTATTAAAAAGACAGCAATTAGCCGGTCATGGTCGTGCATGCCTGTAATCCCAGTTACTTGGGAGGCTGAGGAAGGAGAATTGCTTGAACGTGGGAGGTGAGGCAGAGGTTGCAGTGAGCTGAGATTATGCCAACACACTCCACACTCTGAATGACAGAGTGAGACTCCATCTTAAAAAAAAAAAAAAAAAAAGTCCATCCTGGATACCTGGATATGAACATTTCAACCCCTTTCTCTCAAGACAGAGAAAGTGTGGTGGAGTTAGTTGTGTTTAGAAAAGATGAAAATAATCTGGGTTTACCCCAGCACAGGTTGGTTATGGGAGAAAGGACATACTTGAGAGGATTTTGCATTTCTTCCTCCAAAGCCTGTCATTGTTGTCACCCTCACTTGCTGCAGGTAAGCTGCCCTGGGAAGTCGTCCACTTGCCACCTCCCTTGCACCCTCTCCCAAATCAAACCAATCAAAACCAAGGTCGGTAGAGAAACATCCATTCTGATCTTTCTCCTTGGGTCTTCCTATTGCAGGCTCATCTTTTGGACTCATCTCTTCCCATAGCTTCTGGGACAAGGCTGCACCACCTGTCCCTCTTTTCACCAGCTGATTCCCACCAGCGGATGAAAACATTTAAAGGGAAAAGGCGAAATCTCCCTTCATCCACGTCCCTATTTCACTACTGTTCAATTGTCTTACCTGTCCTTGCCCAACATTCCGAAAGCACAGTCTCCACCCTCTCACCTCCCATTCACCTGTCACCCATGACCCAGCTTCTCACTGAAACTGCTCTCTGCAAAGGACCCAAGGACCTTTGTTGTCACATCCAATACAGTATATATATCTATGTATCTTTATCATCTGACTCGTACTTTTCCACACTTGATGCCGATGGCCACCGCCTCCACCGGGTACCCAGGCTCTGTGATAAAGTGCCTTTGTGGTTGCCTTCCTCCTCCTCAGTCGTTCTTTGCAGGCCCCCTCTTCTCTGCCTACCTCTTACCTGCTGATTTTTTTCCAGAGTTCTAGCCCAAGCCCCCTTCCGGCCCCTCCATTCTAGTCTCTGAGAGTGCCACCGCTAACCAAGCTGCAAGTCTCAGAGGCTGAAGAAAACGTTTTTCTCTGCTGCACCCGTGTCTGACACACTCAGATTCCACGTCTGAACACCGCTCACCCCTTCTCCACCCTGACAAGTCTTCCTCCTTCCAGTTTCTATCTCACTCTTTTCCACTGTTCAAAAGCCCATAAGAATGATTTTTCTAGAACACATCTGATCGTGTCATTTCTCCATTTAGGTCGCCTCAGTGGTTGCCCATTGCCTGTACCGCCAAGTCCAAGCTCCTTAGCAGGGGAAACGAGGCTTCTTATGATCAGGCAACCCCACCCCGCTGCTCCTTCATGTGACTCTATTACAGCTGCTTCAGCGAAGTGTGAAAGGTGAAATCAAAACGTCTTTTTGTTTTGAGGTCAAAACGCCTTGAAGCAGTGTTTACATGACTGTTGTAGCTTTCTGGAAGATAGTGTTGGAACGTGGTAGCTCCGGTAAGCAAGTGGAGAGAATGCGCTCCGCTCGCGAGTGTATTTCGTGGATGACCGCAGGCAAGTCAGCACAGGGGAAGAGAACAGCCAGCTGCTTCCACACTTTCACTGTCCTACTCATTTTTCTGCTAACTACCCATGTACACCCCAGTAACACTGTCCAACTAGTTCGTGCAAAGTTTTTGGTAGAAGCCAAAAACTGGTAACGGAATCATTAATACTCCATGATAAAGTGCATCAATCTGCAGTAATACGTGCTTACAATCACATCCTTTGGTTATCTCTAAAGGATTGTTAAACGAATACAATGGAAATACTCCTGCAGTAACCTGGGACTAATTGGAAAGGTGCTGGGAGAGCTAGAGACCGTCGCGGAGAAAACCGCAACGCGACAACTCAAACGAAACCACAAACGGGGTGACGGGGGTGCGCGGTGGCCCCAAAGGCCGGTCTCACAGCGACCTGGGCGTTCAAGGTCGTGTTCTTGAGCGACAGTTTGCCGAGGCCAAGGGAGATGGCCACGTCGCGTCTGCACAGCCAGTTGGGCTCCCAGGCACCACCTACTCAGCGCCGGGCTTCCCGCCGCTGGAAACCACGAGCCCGCCGGCACCGCGGGTCCTGCCGCGGCCTCCGCCCTTCGCAGGCGGCCCAGGCAGCCCAGTCCGGCCCCGACGTTAGGAGATGAGCAGCTGAGCCGGGGGAGCC